TCCCTGGCTGGGATGATTTAGCTGGGAATTGGTCCTGCTTTGAGCAGGGGGTTGGACTAGATGACCTCTTGAGGTCCCTTCCAACTCTGATATTCTATGATTCTATGATTCTATGATCTTTATTGTGTGTTTTCCAAATATTCTAGTGAAGGGAATTTGCAGACAGGAATGTTGTTGAAGGAACGCATTTAAGTCACTATTACCGAATATTCCTGTGAAAGCAAAATTTGTAATTATGATCCTGAGCATTCATACTAGAAATCTGGTTCTCATATTTATGTTCATCGATTCACAGAACCGAAATATCTATGACCTGTGTGTCCAATCAAAATGAATAATTTAGAAAAATTAATATTTAAAAAAATGAAATTGTTTGGATAATTTGTGAAAAAGGCAACATTCATTGAGTGAATTATTCATTATTATCTGCCCAGCTCTAATAATCAGGTCTTTCTTAAACAGCAGTTGTAGAGGACTCGGGGAGACAGGGTGATAGTTGGAGAGACAAGTGGGGTCACGGGAAGTGTTTTTTATCATGGGGGCAAATAAATCACACATATCTTGCCGAGGAAATGGACCAGTGTTTGAGGGGGGGAAACATGAGGAATGGAAGGGTATTAGGGACAAGCTAGATTGGAAGATAGGATGGGATGGTCGATGGTGTCACTGAGGTAGATGACAGGTAAAAGGAGAGCAGGCCAAATCCCTGTCTTTTGTCACCCTTTCCAGTCTGGCTTCCTCACCACTGAAGCGTCCATCTTAGTTTTTATTAACCTCACCCTAGCCAGAGTTCAGGTCCTCCCCCTCCTCAACCTCTCCACTGCCTTTAACATCTTTGCCTACTCTCCTCCTTTTGCAACCTCTTCTTCCCTCAACTTTCAGGAGTTTGTTCTCTCCTATTTCTCCTCCTACCTCTCTCGTTAGCATTTCATGTGCTGCATCCTCCTATCCCCCTCCACCTTTCATTGGCAACCCACAAGGCTCCATCCTTGGCGCCTCCTTTTCTCTACCTACACCTTGACACTGGGCAATTTCATTCAAAATGTGGCTTTGACGGTCACATTTATGCTGAAGATTCAGATTATTATAAGGTCATCCAACACGGTGGTGTCCCAGTGCCTTCCACAAGATATCTCCCCTCCAGCAGGAAAGAGCGTGGTTATCACTGGGGTTATTTTTAAAGAACATGTATAACGTGATGGTGCTGGTGAGAGCTAGTTCTTGTGGGAAAACTCAGAGATGTAGGGTTTGTATTTAGTTTTGAGGCAGTGTGTGTGTGTGGGCAGGGGTTCCATTCTTATTTCATTGAGCAGTGAGTTCCACCGTTGTGACCCCACAGCTGTGACAACTGAGTCTCTTGCAGAGACGAGCCTTTCCTTCCTTGTCAACAGATTGGTTTTTCTTGTGGAACAAAGCCACCAGGCCAGGTCACTGTCATGGAGGGATAGAAGCTCTCTCTCTCTCTCTCTCTCTCAGTTGGGGCCAGCACCATGCAGTGCTTTGAAAAGAGTCAGTACAACCACGTTTAACTTGACTCTGGTCAATAGGGAGCCAGTGCAGGCAGCACTGTTTTGGGGAGATGCGTTCCTAGTAACCTAGCCACCCCTTCTCCACTGAATCAAACACAAGTTACTCATCTTTACCATTTAGCCCTTTATGGCTTAGCCTTGCCCTGTCTGTCAACTGTAGTACACTATCAAGATATCAATCTCTGCCTCTACTCTGCCGATCATGCCATCTTTCATTACCCATTAGTCCATAATATTTTCATGCTTTCTCCCTTGCCGTCCCCTATGCCAGGGAGGAACACATCATAACTCCATTAAGGAGTAAGGAATGGTGTCCCTAGCCTCTGTTTGTCAAAGGGTGGAGATGGATGGCAGGAGAGAGATCACTTGATCTTTACCTGTTAGGTTCACTCCCTCTGGGGCACCTGGCATTGGCCACTGTCGGTAGACAGGATACTGAGCTGGATGGACCTTTGGTCTGACTCAGTATGGCCGTTCTTATGTTCTTATTACTCCTCTGCAAAAGCCTTCTTCAAATCCCTCCTTAAAACTCACCTCTGCTGTGAATCCTGCAAAACACTTGACAATGGCTGGGCAGCTGGTGCACATGACTCCTGCTTACTAACTTCTGCCCATTAGACTAAACGTGATCATTTCTAGTTAGTGCAACACATGGTGGTGAGTTTGTGAGGTGGGATCTGAAACTGACCAATCTCAATTCATTCTGGGGCCACCAACATCCTATTAGCGGGCAATGTGTTCAATCCCTAGCACTAGGCTGTTGGGTTTCAGGATTGTTAGGCTGCGTTCTCTTCCTTGCTCTGGGAGGAATCTAAGCTCTGCTGGTTAGAGACAGCAGAGCCATTGCAACAACCCTTCTGCTTGGGTTGTCTTCAGTAGAACTGGTTAGAAAATGTTCAACAAACATTACTTAATACCTTTGGGGAGAGGAAGAGAGAGAGAGATCTCATCGCAGAATAGCAAATAACCCTATGGTTAGTGGTTTTCTCTCTGTTGGAGCTATTCCACTTTGTGCAAATCCTTAAATATTCATTGGGCCAGAGAGAGCGAGACTGATTCTGTAACTGGGTAGTTAGGACACTGTCCTGAAATGTGAGAGACCAGGATCAGATCTGTTCTCTGCCTGATTTGGCCATCCCTGATCTGCAGGGAGTGGTCCCGGGCTCTCAACCTCAAAACAGGAGCATCTGTCACTTGATTTAAAGGACCACTCCCATGAGTACAGAGGCTATTAGAGATCCATGAACCGCTCGCTGTACAATCTAGTCACTAGACAGGAATAAAGAGCCACTCTGTCTGAATGTGGATTACACAGAGATATTTTGACTCTTTTCACCTTATAGGCAGGGTGGCAAAATGAATGAGCCTTAGATCCATGCTATTAGAGGTCTGGGTTCTATCCTCGGCTCTGTTGATGTGAACTTGCCAATCTCTCTGTTATCTTAGCTGTAAAATGGGTGAGTGATAGTTATACCTCCCCTAAGGCAGGGTTTTGAGGCCTATGTTAATAAGGGATGAAAAAGGCAGAGAAATATCAAGAGCAGTCAAGAAAACAATTGGGATTAGAACTCACAGGCCTTTAGCTGGTACCTCAGTGCACCATCTGCTAAGCTACTGGGTAGGGTAACCAGATGTCCCAATTTTATAGGGACAGTCCCGATTTGTGGAGCTTTTTCTTACATAGGCACCTATTACCCCCCACCCCCTGTCCCGATTTTTCACACTTGCTATCTGGTCACTCTACTACTGGGTATTGTGGCATCTTCGCTCACCCAGAAAAAAACAAAAAAACTACACACTCCCATTGCACTAGTTATGTGGAAACGTGACAGTTTTGCAAGATGTGCAAGACATGGTAGGTTGGGTTAAGATTGTTTTGGAGACCTGCCAAGCAGTTGTTAATACTGACACTGAGACACACCACCAATTATTGAATGCACCTTTTTGTTTGTTAAAATCCAATTATACTGATAGGAAGAAGCTTTTGAAATATTTTTCAGTTCCTATGTAAAACTGATTATTTTAAATGGTAATTTTAGTTTTATCCACATGCAGCAAATTGTGGTGAAGCGTTCTAGTGAAAACAATTGTTCTTTGTTATTTTAAAGCACTGCAGCATAGTTTGGTAATGACGATACCGGTCTTCTGGTTGCAGCTAGAGCTGGTTGAAACTCAGAATTTTGTGGGAAATTTCAAGTTTTGGTTTTGTTCTGAATTTTTATTTTAATATCAACGAACTGTTCAAACACACTGCCTTCCACACACAATAGCACAGTAAAACTACATGCTGAATTTCAGTTGAGGTCTGATCAACACACAGTTTTAGTACTGCTATAACTATTTTGTTTAGGAGACAAATTTTTACCAAAATGTTCTGACCAGTACAATCCCTAAGGTGGATGCAGTTTTACCATGATAAAGGTGCCTTAGTTGTACACTGGGGATGTGGAAGCTTGTTTTGTTTCCTAGTGATTTCCTCAGCAGGGAAGGTCTCAGTGAGCAGCTCTCAACCTTCCTTGTACAATTGTTGACACAAAGCAGGTTTCCCTCCCCCGCTGTTTTGTCTCACCCTGTTCATATCTATACACAAAACAGTACAGCAAACATTTCAGTCATTGAGAGGACAGAGCAGACCAAACAATCATGATATTTTTTAAAAAGGTCATTTTTTTCGGTAGTCTGATAACTGTATCATTAGCTTACAGTAACCGTAGAATTGTTCTCAGGTGGGTCATTCAGCCAATTAGTAGTTATCAAGACATAGGGAAAAGAATATTTAATCTGTTAATGAAACTACAGATTTTTCAGCTCAGATAATACTTACTGATATAGCCACTTTTGTCGTCTTGGGAGTTTTTCCTCATGGTCTTCTAAACTAAATGTACAGTCATATATACAAAGTGACTCCAGACTATGACAATGCTTTACACAGAATGAGAGAGCCCTTTGATCCATCTGGGTAAATTTATTTTGATTTAATTTCAGTTCAGTGAAGTGATCCAATGCATTAACTGCAAAATCTTCTTCATACATCTCATATACACAGTGAAACAACTCAAGCTGATAACTTTGATAAATCTCCTCATGAACACAGGGCAAGATTAAATCTGTTTGTTGGTTTGCTTGAACCCACTTCAATAAATCTGCCTTAATTTTAGGTGAAAGTTTACACCCAAATTTTTCCTGCAGGTCCTTCATTCTTTCTTCATTTAAGAGCCCAAACAGGAATCGCACTGTTAACATTAAATAATTTTTAGAGTTTCCATAGTTTTCTAACAAAGTTTTCACATCTTTCTTTGGAATCCCTGAATCTGCTGTTTCATCTTCCGCCAGGACATATAACAAAGCTGCAAAAAACTCCTGAAAGCTTAAGTGAATGAAGCTGTAGAGACATTCACAGTCAGTTTCTTTTTGAAAAATATTCTCATTCAAAAAAAGGGGGAGAGAGTTTTCTTGATCTAAGCCGAACTTCTTGATTTCTTCTTCCTCAAACAGTATCTTTTGCTTCCAGATTCCATCAGCAGCCAAGGAACAAAGTCTCCTCAGATTTCCATGCAAGTGTTGCTTCGTATTGTTGCTGAGAGGCTTGACTAAACTGGAAAGGTAGAGCATATACACTCCAGTGACTGTTTTTGAAGTTTGTGTGAGAGTTTCTCCTTTTTCAAGCTGTTGTTTCAGAACTGTGCAGATGATCCAACATATGAAGGGGACAAAGCACATGGTGAAAAGAATTTCATTTGCTTTCACAAATTGTAAAGCTTGTCTTGCTTGGTTTTCATTTCCAAAGAACTTGTGGAAATATTCCTCCCTCTCAGCTTCAGAAAACCCCAGGATCTCTGCATAACGTGAGCATTCCAAACATTGCCCGAGTTTCTCCAGGGCAGCTGGTCTTGTAGTGATCATCAGGTAGGATTCAGGAACAACTGTTCTCCTAAATAAACTGCTCAGGATGATTTCCATTGGCTTCTTTTCCCAGGGATCAGTGCACAGATTATCTTTAGGCTGATCAAAGGAAAATCTCAATTCATCGAACCCATCTATTATGAACAAGAGTTTTTCTGGATTCACCAGAATGTGATTAACTGGTGCATTTGTATTAAGCCAACTTTTAAAAATCATGTCAGCCACACTTCCCTGCTCATTAAGAAGGTTCATTTCCCTGCAGTTTATGTAGAAAACATAATCAAATTTTTCCTTATAGAGTTCCCCAGCTGCCCAATCGTACATGATCTTTCTTGCAGTCATTGTTTTCCCAATCCCAGCAGCTCCCAGCAGCACAACGACTTGTGGTGTGTGTCCATCTTTATCAGGTTTATAGAGGGTGGCCAGTGTAACTTCAGAACTAGCTCGTTCAGTCATGACTTCTGCATGTCTCCATCCCATGGCCATTATTTCATGTTCTCTCTCCTTTGCCTGACGAGGTCTGTCTACAATAGTCAGGTTTGTGTATCTTCTGTTTAGAATCATATAGTCACCAAAACGACTGTTCATGTCTTTTATTAGCTTGTATTTCTTTTTAACATCTTCTTTATACTTCTTCCTGTAACCTGTATCAGCAACATGAGACATTAGAAATATTGAATTGAAAGTTCAGAAAACAGACAGACTAATATCAGACTAATCTCTTAAAATAGTTCTACTGTAACAACAATAATGGTTCTTCACATTTATAATGAAACCTTCTTCAAAAAGGAGCCTGTAATCACTTAACTATGGGTGAGATCCTGCAGCCCTTACTCAAATACGGATGCCCCACTGAAATTATTCATTTGAGTAAAGACTGTAGGCATCACTTCATTCTCTTTGAAATGCAGCCACCTCTCTGGTGAAACCCGGCTACTGTCTGGCAATGCACAGGAACACTACACAACAAGGTAGGTCACCAGTGGAAGAGAATATCATATGCAGTTGAAACAAAACTGGGAATGTAGGTGGAAAGAAAGTAATTTCATAAACTAGAATTTGTCAGGACACCTGGGTTTACAAGGGAGAGCATCACAGGATCTTTAATTACCACAATTGAGTACCTTCAGTTACCTTTCTCATGTAAGAGATGGTGCCCCTAAAGCAGAGTGTCCTCCAGCATGAGGCTAGTACATTTGCTCAGTACTGACCCAGAGCGATACTTTGTACACATCTGTATTGGAAGTTGCCCAAGGTAATAAAAGTCCCTCTCAGCCCATTATATAAAATTGTTCGTAAAACAACTGATACAAACTGGATCATTTATCCTAGAAAAGCAGTACTGGGGGGTCTGCAAGGCTCCTGGTAAAGTCATAGGTTGGCATGACAATGAGCCGAGAGAGTCTAGAAATAGGAAAAATGTTTATAATTGAAATCACCGAAGGATTTTGATTGGTTCATTGTAATGGCATGAGGCTGCCACCCCATTTTGTACACAGTTTTTCTGGCGGTCGCTGAACGGAGCAGAAGAACACGTGAAATGGAAGAAGCGAACTTCTCCATCATGGCTGCAATTCCTGGGATCCACCATGACACAAAGAGTGGAAGGACAGACAAATTGCTTAGGATGAGTATAAAAGGATTGCACAGAATGTAGGGACAAAATCAGAAAGGCTAAGGCACAAAATGAGTTACACCTAGTGAAGGACATAGAAAGCAATAAAAGGCTCTATAAATACAACAGGAGCAAGAGAAGGACAAAGAAAAGCATAGGTCCACTGCTTAGCAGGGAAGAAGATCTAATAATGGATGATACCTATAAGGCAGAGGTGTTTAATGCCTATTTTGCTTCAGTATTCACTAAATATGTTAATTGTGACCAGATGCTAACACAATTATTATTAACAACAAGAGGGAAGACCCAAAAGCCAGAATAGGGAGAGAGCAGGGTAAAGACTACTTAGATAAGTTAGATGCATTCAAGTCAGCAAGGGCCTAAAAATTCACCTTAGGATGCTTAAGGAACTAGATGAAGCAATCTCTGAACCACTCTCTCAGAAAACTCATAGAGGATGGATGAGGTCCCAGTGGACTGGAGAAGGGCAAATATCTTTTAATGATGGAACAAAGACAACTTGGGGAATTATAGACATGTAAACTGTTCATTTTAGTTTCACAGCAATAGTTCTGGGAACGTATCCAACTGAGTAAGCAGGAACCGCTGTCCTTAGGTAACTTCCTGGGTAGCCATCACATACCTTTTGCTGACAACTCTGATGGGTTTTGACTCTGATGAAACTCTGAAAGGGAAATTACATTTAAACAACAGTGTAAGAATGTAGAGTGTATTTCAGTGCAAGTGAGTTTCTGTTCTGTATGGAGGCAGCAAGTGACAGAATGATGCAATTGCATCCTGTGTTAATGAAGTAATCACCAAGGAGAGCATGGCTACCAGCCATCAGTATATGAAGTTCAGTTTGGGGAATACTGTGAAGGGAGTTCAGTTTCTCGGACCTCCCTCTGCCTGGTTCTACTGATGACTAGTCTGCACTTTACACGATGAGCCGGCCACGTGGTCAGAGAAACACAGAACAACTAGCACTGGGACAAAGAGTCAATGCAGGAGTGTTTGTGGGGAGAGGGACTCCCTCACAAACACTCATGTTCCAACACAGATTAGGTGAAACAACTAAAGAGTCCATGTGAAGGACAATTCTGCTGTCGTTCAGGGATGGGCTAGGTGACTCAGGAAAGCCTTTAAAACCCAGGGATCTAAAACAGACACTAATGGCAGCCCGAGGGAATTTGTTTGTTTGGGATAACTACCACTTGGGACCTCTCCCCAACAACCCTTATCTTTTCACTAGATTCAGTTATTGATAGAATGCTGACTGGGTTAAACGTTGCATAGGCAACCAGAAATGTTTGCATAAATATTGCCACTCCTTTTGCCAAGCATCTGCGACTAACTTAGGGGGATAAAGTACCCTTTCCCCACCCCTCAATAATTATTATTTTATTACTGAGTTATGGTAGGATCTAGATTCCCAATCGGGGCCCATTGTACTAGGTCCTGTGTGCACACATAACATGATTGTCCCTGCCTGACAGAGTTCACAGTCTAAACCAAGTAACTTCCCCCTGCATTGCGCTCTGGAGGCTTCTAAACTCTCCCCCTGGGGGACTATCCACGGGAGTGAATTCCAAAGGCCTCTAGGGAGAGCCCCACGGCCAGCCCTGGAGTGTTCCATCCCAGGGACCCCCTGCAGAACCAGCCCAGCTGAGCTCCACTGGCACCGTGGGGTGCAGGGAAGTGGAACAGGAATGACTAACAGGGTTGAGTTTAGCTCCATCACTGAGCACATGGATTTTAATGCTGCTCTACTAAAAACTGGCTCCCCACGGACACTGGCTATTACACTCTTGTGGGACACTGCAAAGCGGCCTGGAGCCTTTGGAACTGCAGCTCTCCATGTTTGCTGGCTCCTTGGCTGTTTGTACTGCACTGAATTTGTTTCTTGAATTAAAAGATAGCCTTGGAGATAATAAAGATCCTGCCTGGAACCCCAGGAATGTCTCATGTTGTCAACCAGCTGTTTGGGGATAACATACTCTGCTGTGATCAGTTACCAGTTACAGAGCCTCAATTCTCTGTCCCAGCTCTGGTGCAGGTTAGAGCAGCCTAGGGGCTGGTCTTACTTGCACTAGTTGCTAATGGTCACCAAGGAATGATCCTCCAGCTGGGGATGCATTCCAGCTACTCCTCCTCCCCACCTCTCCCTGTCCATGGAACTCCCTCCCTCTGCACCGCTCTGTTGGCTCTACACCCACTGGGGACTCCCCCACACTGGGGATTTCCTCAGAGGGAGAGTTACAGGCTGTCTCTGCTCCCCTTGAGACAGCTGAGTGGTGAAAAGGGAGTGGAGCAGGTGAGAGAATCTGACCCACTCTGGGCATCTCTGCTCTGAGTCCCCCGGGCTTCCTGCTCGGATTCAGAATTTGTCATTCCTGCCATCAGCCTGTTTCTCCTTCTGCTCCTGCTGCTGCTGCCCTGGGGGAGATTCTCGGGGCAGACTATCAGGTTTTACAGTAACTTTATGTCTCTTACCTTTCTCTCTTTCTTCTCTGAGTTTTGCAGCAGACTCTCGGAGGTCGATCTGAGTGAAAACATCTATGGTTACATCTACCACAGCATCTCCACTATAGAATTCCATCAGGAGGTTCTTCGTATCTATCCTGTCGGCATTCTCCAGCCGACCTCGGGGGATGTTACCTTTCCCCTTAAAGTCAGAGTGTGATAGTTTGTCTTTAAATCTTTTCAAGTCTTCCTGAGAAAGGTTGTCGAGGGCTCGTAAGAGCAGGTCACTGATTCTGCTGCTTTGGTTTCCCATCACTGGGCATCAAGAGATAAGCTAAAATGCAGTGTAAAGTCTTGGTGTTAATCATTAATTGGATCATTAATAACAACAATTATTCCCATGTACAGGAAAGAAGTAAGCTAATGGTGGGAGAAGGTCGCTGGGGCTCATAACTCCTCAGTGTTTCTCTCTCACAAATGATTCTTTGTGCCTTTTTCCACATCTGTAAAATGGAGATAATCCTACTGATCTAACTCACAGGGTGAGGTGCATCTTAGCTAATGTTTGTAAAGCCAAGTGAGGTTTTAGGAAGATGCAAGCTATACTAATAGTATTTATCAGCCAACTGGATTTGAAAATAGAGGTGGGACACCCTAATTTAATTAAAATTTCAAAAATATAAACTCAGAAAATACAGTCCTGGAATATCAAGCCCTGCATCCTGAGATCCAGCATCAGCGTGTGAGACCCTCATGGGTATTCTGGATATCAGAGCAAGGTTAGGTGGAGCAGTGGTAATTTCTGACATACGGTGTGTCCAGTGGTGAGCTGGAGCTGGTTCGCATGAACCGGTTGTTAAAATTTAGAAGCTGGTTTAGAACCGGTTGTTAAAGCGGTGGGCAAACTCTGGGCTGCAGGCCACATCCGGCCCGCGGGACCAACCTGTCTTGCCTGCCTGAGTTCCTAGCTGGGGAGGCTCCCCAGGACCCTCCCTCACCTTCCTCCCTCTCACAGAGCCTGGCGCCGGTGCTCTGGACCACTCCTGGACAGCTCTGCTGCTTTGAGCGGCATGGTAAGGGGGTGGGGCTGCGAGCTCCAGCACGCTGCGCGGCATCCATACACACTGCCCTGAGCAGCATGGTAAAGGGGGCCGGGCTGGGGCTGGGAGGATAAGGGGCAGGGAGCAGTTGGAGGGGACAGAAGTTTTGGGGGGGCAGTCAGGGGATGGGGAACGGGGGGGTTGGGTAGGCGTGGGAGTTCTGGGGATCTGTCGGGGTGGTGGTGGATGGAGTCGGGCAGTGAAAATAAGTGAAAGTAAGCTGGTACACCCCGGTACGGCGTACTGGCAAGAGCCAGTGCACCATACCGGGGTGGCCTGGCTTCCCCAGGTGGCAATTTAAAGGGCCTGGGGCTCCCAGCAGTGGCTATTTAAAGGGCCGGGGGCTGTAGAAGCAGGGGAGTCCTGGGCCCTTTAAATAGCC